CCCCCCCCAAAAACAGTTGCACAATTATGCTTAGTATTATTTTTGCAGCAGACAGTCCGGCTCTGAAGTCTTTGTTAGATAGCGGGCTAGGACGGGGCTAAAAAATGAATACGCATGCGCCAAATTGTCCCACTAGAAAACAGAAACATGACTGCTTGTAAACTTTTCATCTAGCACAAAAAATTGGTCGAGGTTTTCAGTGAAAAGAATTATAGTGAAAACATTAGAAAAGTCTTACATATAACAAAAAAAACCTTAGCCATTGGTTAATAGATTAAAATGCATATTTTGCTTATCTTTCAAGAAATGAACTTTTCCTTTGCACTTTTTTTAAGTTAGCAGTTGAGCCTGCCATTTTCCCTAGAGTGGTCTTTTTTCCGAGTTGGGTTTCCTGTCTCGGCCTTTGTTATCAAACCCTTACCTCTGTGGCAGAAACAGTTTTCAAGAGAGCTTCATAGACGTCATCAGGTGATTCATTTTTGACTGAAAAACAAACAAACATCACTAAGGTAGTACTTTTCAGCAGCCAATCACCTGTGGCCAAATGTAAATGACATTCTGAGTATCAGCCAATCAGTTTCTTTCTTACGATTGCTTAAAAATGAGCGACAATAGCCCCCCCTCCTCCCCCCCTCATCTTACATACCTTTGACGGTTTCCTCTTCAGAATCCCCATCAATGTCAACCTCAATATCTTCATCGACTGTTTTTTCAATATGGACCAGCGGACCAGTGTCTACTTGACTCTTGGTTTCCATGGTAACAGATGAGTATTTAGCAGGGGTGGGAGAAGTGCTGTATTTCTTGGCATTACTTTCGATTCTGGGAAGTTCTGAGGTGCCATTGTTGGTGGAAATGGGTTGAGATGGTAATGACACCTGGATATGAAGAATGACAAAGAAATCATAAAATATCTGAGATACGTCACACCCTTTTATTAGTCGAGCTATCGTAAGCTCATTGACATGTGACGACATGGGTGGTGTAGCAGTGAGACCGCTAGCATCTCACCAATGCAAGCCTGGGTTCTATCCCTGGGCTTGGTATTATATGTGAGTAGAGTTGTTTGTTGGTTCTCTCCTGTGCTTCGAGGTTTTTCTCCGGGTTCTCTGGCTTTCCTCCCTCCACAAAAATCAACTTCTATTCTAATTCAATCCAAAGAAGGCCCTGATGAAAATTACTGTGTGTAATTCTAGTAACCCCACCAAATTATGTAGTACTTGTTTGTAGTTGCAGACTTTCAGAATATTTTATCGATGAGGTTGAACTGAACTATGTGGTACACACCTTGTCCTTATTCTTAAAATACTGGTTGGCGTAGTTTTTAACTTGGAGGACAGTACGGGAATCTATCATTGCAGCTATGCGCGTCCAGCTCCTGCCATACTTGGCCTGTGCAGGAAATGGTTAAGTTAATAAAATACTGTAGGGTATTATAGCTACGTAGTAGCCACAACAACAACAGCAGCAGCAGCAAAAACAACAACAGCAGCAACAACAACAGCAACAACAACAACAGCAGCAGCAGCAACAGAAACAACAACAGCAACAACAGCAACAACAGCAGCAGCAACAACAGCAGCAGCAACAGCAACAACAGCAGCAACAACAACAACAACAGCAGCAGCAACAACAGCAACAGCAGCAGCAACAACAGCAACGACAACA